TCTTTCCCCAGTCATTTCCAGAAGCCATCTGTTTCAACATTGAAAGTGGCGGCTTTGAAGTGGTCACAGACAGTAAGCTCAAACTGGCACAGCAGATTAAGGAAGCAGTTCGGTCACAAAGGACCAAAGTGGACATCTATGAGAATGTACACCAGCATGCTTTCTCGGACATCCCGGTTGTGCCCATCGAAGACACGGAGGGCCCAGAGCGGGAAAAGATTGAGAGGACATTTGATGTGATGGTTGGTGTTAAATATTTCAGCCTGCAGTGAAGTAGGGTTGTCTTAGTGGCTGACATGTTTGTCAGTTTTATCTAGAAGTTATGCCCTTTTTCATCCATGTTTACACTCACTATTCATCCTATGGAGGTCATGCTTGGCCATATTTAGCTTCTAAGATATTCTTATTCTCCTGCTCCTTCTTCTCCTGCTCCTTCTTCTCCTCCTCCTTCTTCTCCTGCTCCTTCTTCTCCTGCTCCTTCTTCTCCTCCTCCTTCTTCTCCTGCTCCTTCTTCTCCTGCTCCTTCTTCTCCTGCTCCTTCTTCTCCTGCTCCTTCTTCTCCTGCTCCTTCTTCTCCTGCTCCTTCTTCTCCTGCTCCTTCTTCTCCTGCTCCTTCTTCTCCTGCTCCTTCTTCTCCTGCTCCTTCTTCTCCTCCTCCTTCTCCTCCTCCTTCTTCTCCTGCTCCTTCTTCTCCTGCTCCTTCTTCTCCTGCTCCTTCTTCTCCTCCTCCTTTTTCTCCTGCTCCTTCTTCTCCTGCTCCTTCTTCTCCTCCTCCTTCTTCTCCTCCTCCTTCTTCTCCTCCTTCTTCTCCTGCTCCTTCTTCTCCTGCTCCTTCTTCTCCTCCTCCTTCTTCTCCTGCTCCTTCTTCTCCTGCTCCTTCTTCTCCTCCTCCTTCTTCTCCTGCTCCTTCTTCTGCTCCTTCTTCTCCTGCTCCTTCTTCTCCTGCTCCTTCTTCTCCTCCTCCTTCTTCTCCTCCTCCTTCTTCTCCTCCTCCTTCTTCTCCTCCTCCTTCTTCTCCTCCTCCTTCTTCTCCTTGTTTTAATTCTTAATAAACATCTGATTCCTGTCCTCTTTCTTTTTCTTCTTATCCTTCTATTTTGTGCAGACTGCTAAAACTCTACATCGGTAAAATACTCATAGAAAAAAAGGAGCAGAAACATGGAGAATAACTATGGCAATTGCTAACAAACTACAGACATTCATTAACTGGTGCCTGCACAGACTAGAGGAAATTAATTGGTATGATAGAATCCCTAATGTAGCGCTTTGGGAGAGATCTCAGCAAACTACAGTGGACCAAAAGGTGAAGAAAAGACGCTGGCATTGGATAGGACACAAATTGAGAAAACTGGAGAACAAAATAACTAGAATATCTTTGCACTGGAACCCACAGAGGCATATGAATAAAGAAAGGATAAAAAACACATGGAGAAGGGAGCTGGAGAATGAAGTTAGAAAGATGGGGAGGGCATGGGGAGAGCTGCACGCGATAGCAAAAGATAGAACGACTTGGGGTTAGTTGGCTGGGGGCCTATGCTCCGTTGGGGGCTAGAAAGGCAAAAGAATAAAACTCTACATTGGTAACACACACATAGAAAGTGTGATGGAGCTTACAGCTGATCATTGATAGAAATCTAAGGTTCACCTCTTATGTGCAAGCACTTGTGGAAAAAAAAAAGCCTTAAAAAATGTGTACCAGCTTGCAAAGATGAAAAACTTATTTGATGAAAACTCTAGAAAGATATTGTATACTTCTGACATTTAGACATATATAGACTTATCGCTCTACAATTTGGAATGGCTGTTCTAATTCAGTTATCAAGCAGCTCATTTCGCTTGAAAAGCAGTAATACACATAGTATGTTATAAAAACATATACTGGTGTGAGAGACACTTCCAAAACATATAGAGGTGTGAGAGATACTTCCAAAACATATAGAGGTGTGAGGGACACTTCCAAAATATATAAAGGTGTGAGAGACACTCCCAAAACATATAAAGGTTTGAGAGACACTCCCAAAACATAGAAAGGTATAAGGGACACTCCCAAAACATAGAAAGGTGTAAGGGACATTCTCAAAACATATAAAGGTGTGAGAGACACTTCCAAAACATATAAAGGTCTGAGAGACACTTCCAAAATATATAAAGGTGTGAGAGACACTTCCAAAACATATAAAGGTGTGAGAGACACTTCCAAAACATATAAAGGTGTGAGAGACACTTCCAAAACATGAAGGTGTGAGAGACACTTCCAAAACATATAAAGGTGTGAGAGACACTTCCAAAACATGAAGGTGGGAGAGACACTTCCAAAACATGAAGGTGGGAGAGACACTTCCAAAACATATAAAGGTGTGAGAGACACTTCCAAAACATATAAAGGTGTCAGGGACACTTCTAAAACATATGAAGGTGTGAGAGACACTTCCAAAGCATATAAAGGTGTGAGAGACACTTCCAAAACATATAAATGTGTGAGAGACACTTCCAAAACATGAAGGTGGGAGAGACACTTCCAAAACATGAAGGTGGGAGAGACACTTCCAAAACATATAAAGGTGTGAGAGACACTTCCAAAACATATAAAGGTGTCAGGGACACTTCTAAAACATATGAAGGTGTGAGAGACACTTCCAAAGCATATAAAGGTGTGAGAGACACTTCCAAAACATATAAAGGTGTGAGAGACACTTCCAAAACATATAAAGGTGTAAGGGGCACTCCCAAAAACATTTAAAGATGTGAGAGACACTTCCAAAAACATTTATAGGTCTCATGCTTTTATAGCTCCATGAACATCTACTTTTCAATAAGCGTAAACTTTATCACAAAAGATTATTCCAAAAGGCTCCAGGATTCTGAGATAACCTTTTTTAGTATGAAGCTCCGAAGCTGTCTTTGTAAATTAGGTTCTTTGAAAATGTGTTTATTTGATCACTGTTCTGTCCAGCTAATTATTAGCTTCTTTTGTTCCTTTCTTAATCCATGTTGCAGAGCCATAGAGTACTCTGGGCCAGATAAAGCGTTTGTATTCATTTTAGCAGTAAAATGTTGATGTTACTTGATGTCTGGCTCAAATTAGTTATCTAGTACTGTTCTAATTAACAATCTAGTCTTGCTCAGACTAGTTATCTAGTCATGTTTAAATTATGTATCTAATCTTGCTCAAATTAGTTACCTAATCTTGCTCAAATTAATTATCTAGTCTGGCTCAAATTAGTTATAGAATCTTGCTCAAATTAGTTACCGAATCTTGCTCAAATTAGTTATCTAGTTTGGCTCAAATTAGTTATCTAGTCTTGCTCAAATTAGTAATCGAATCTTGCTCAAATTAGATATTTAGTCTTGCTCAAATGATTTATCTAGTCTTGCTCAAATGATTTATCTAGTCTTGCTCAAATTAGATATTTAGTCTTGCTCAAATGATTTATCTAGTCTTGCTCAAATGATTTATCTAGTCTTGCTCAAATGATTTATCTAGTCTTGCTCAAATGATTTATCTAGTCTTGCTCAAATGATTTATCTAGTCTTGCTCAAATGATTTATCTAGTCTTGCTCAAATTATTTACCTAGTGTTGCTCAAATTAGTTATCTAGTCATGCTAAAATTATGTATCTGTTGTTGCTCAAACTAGTGCTGTTCTTTCCTAGGCATTAAACAAAGAGCAAGGCATCCTCTGGGTGAAATCTTCTAGACTGCCCAAGTTCCTGGAGAGTGACTTTTACTTCCAGTATCGTCTGGCCAAAGTCATTTCTCAAGCCAGCATTTTCAACGACAATGGGGAGTTTGTGGTGATGAAGATTGACTACACCACAAAGTCCAAGACCAGGAAGAAGGCGGTGTGTTTCCTGCTTCATTTGTGTGTTCAGCTTATGTATTCTGGGAAGATAGGTCATTCTAGCTCATAATGGGTATGAGGAAATGTCCTTGGAAGTAACTGTGGCTGATGTGATGTTAATGGTATTATCAGTTAAAAGCCAGTTAGTCAATAACATGGGTTCAGCACCATTTGCCATATTTGTGTCCCAATAGACCTTCTGAGAGTTGTAAAAAAAAAACTGTTTTGGGATTAAATGGAATTTAAAGTTTGGTGTTATATAAATGTGGAGTGTGACATAATATAACTTTTGAGGATGGTGTACTAGAACTTTAAATGTAATATAATAGAAATCTGGGGTGAGACATTATAGAACTTTGGAGTGTGGAATTATAGAACTTTTGGGTGTTGCGTTATAGAACTTTTGGGTGTTGCGTTATAGAACTTTTGGGTGTTGCGTTATAGAACTTTGGGGTGTGGCCTTATACAACTTTGGGGTGTGGCGTTATAGAACTTTGGAGTGTGGCGTTATAGAACTTTGGAGTGTGGCATTATAGAACTTTGGAGTGTGGCCTTTTGGAACTTTGAGGTGTGGCATTATAGAACGTTTGAATGCAGCATTATAGAATTTGGAAATATGACATTATAGTACTTTCAGTGGGGAAATAATGGCACCGAAGTGTGACATGACAGAACTTTGGAGTGTATCGTTATAGAAATTGAAGAGTAGTACATTATAGAACTTCTGAGAGTGATATAATGTAACTTTGGAATGTGACATGATATCAGTTTTAGTAGAGTGTGGCACTGTGGAATTCTAAAGTGTGACATTATGGAAGTTTGGAGATTGAAATAATATAAACTTGCACTGTTACATTATAGAACTTTGGAGTGTGACAAATTAGAACTTTAGAGTGTGGTGTTAAAGTTGTGGGATTATATAGTATTAGAGTGTGACATCAAATAGCTTTTGTAGATGACAACAGATTGTCAAGAAGTATAGCCCAATGAGGTTTGTTGCCCGCTTATTGTATTACAGGTTGAAGTACATCCCCCAACCCAAGAAGAACTTATCGTAAAAGAGATGTTTGTCAGCTTTGGTGACCTCAAAGGAGCAGCCAGGGAAGCTTGGTTTACCCAAGCAAAGAAACATCTGAAGACTGAGGTCACATTTTCTACCATGAGCATTCAAAGACGCGGTACAGTGTCTGGGGGAGGAGATGCTCCGTCTTCGATCACTGCCAGCAAGAAGAGTTCTGTCTTCAACAGTCGCTATTTTGGTGTCTATACGCCAGGTAAAATAACGTGTCAAAGGCAAAAATGGTGGACCAGCCCATATGGGTTCCAGGCCCCACTTTGTTTAAAGGGTGGGTGGGGGAGGAATGGAATAGATACATCATCATAATCTTTGAGAGCCTTTCCAACTGGCATGGGTGGACAAGCCTCATTACAGTATGCCATCTGACACTGCACATGCCAGTTTGTGTGTTGACACTCCTCCATGCCATGACAAAAGGCTGTCAAGAAACATTTTTTCCTGTCTTTCTCTGTCTCTCTTTCCACAGATCTTTCCAGTGGTCACAACATGTTCCATTTTCTTTTTTTTTCTCATGACACAACCAAAAAATGATGACTGTCTCTTTCTGATGTTTGTGATAAGTTGTCTTCGAGTCCTGGCCTCTTTCAGAACATCAGAGCTGCTATTTTTGGCTGCCCAAGGAATTCTAAGGACATCTCCGATGTCTCAAGAAATTGGTTGGCTTGTTTGTTAATTGTCCGTGATTCACAGCCTTATGTTAAAACTGGCTCTGTATAGCATGCAACAATTCTTTTCCTAACCTTCAATGGCATTGACTTGTTTCATAACATGTTTTTCATTTTATCAAAAGCACTTTTGTTTTGTTCTATTCTGTTCTTTATCTCTGTGGTACATCTTCCTTTGGATGTTATCCATGTGCCTATTTATGCCTAGATACTTAAATTTCTGTACTTGTCCTGCAATAACGCCTTTGACTTGTATTACATTTGGACACTATTCTTTTCTTGGATGTATTAATTATTTCTATCTTCTTATTATTCAAACTGAGATTTATTTGATCACTTTCTATCCCTATCAAGATATCGAGTCAAAAGCTTTATTTTAGCCCGCAGTTAAAGTGCATTTCCAGATATCACTGAAGAAGATCATTCAAACCATTTACTTACATGACAGTGACTAGTGTGCATGAAATTGAAGGTTCACATCCTGGTTAAAGTATTCTCTGTAGCAGTGTTCTTCAACTCACTGGCCGTGGCCCGCTGGTGGGCTGTGGAGAAAAACCAGTTAGGCTGCAGACATTTCTGTCTGTATGGTCAACATGTTTGATGAGAACCAGACTCGTACAAATCTGGGAAATCCCATTTAGCTGCATAAAACAGTTAGAACACTGTAATGGCATTGGTCAACAAATTTTTAAACTAACTTTTGTGTGTGTACCAGATTTTAAATACATCATTTCTGATTGATTGTGTACAAGTGTACCAGAATTTAAATACATCATTTCTGATTGATTGTGTACAAAGTAAAGGACCATTTCCATGCCCTTTCAGGCGTATTTGGTTTTTGGGACTAGACCTATATTTTATAGACCAAACGGCACTTGATGGGTGATGTGGTCGGCATCATGCTCGCCAATTGTGTGTGTTGTAATATAATCCCTTCTTTGAAAAGTCTGCTTTTCCCGCACAACTGATCATCATTAACACACACAAGTTTGACCAAGCTTTCTTCTGATGTCAGTCTTGTGTGCAAACATACCAGGCTATCATTGTCTGAGTTTTGGATATCACTTGAAAAAAAATGAATAGTCATTGAGCTAAACATAGACTAATTAGATTGTTTTTCCTTTTGACTTCATGTTTATGTGAAAAAGACATTCTTAGCCATGTTAGTAATGCAGACGAAACATATAAATCAAATGGATGCTATTGCAGTGCTTCATGTGCTAGAAACAACGCTCCAGCCACATAGATAAGATTTTCTATCCTGTAAACAGCAGACGTCTCATTAGCTGAAAATTGTAATTTTATGACATTGGCGTTAACAAATAAAATGCCATCGACGTTTGTTTTTTGTTTCTGTGTTTGGATCGATGTCATGTGGACTGCGAAACAATGTCCCCTATTTTGATAAACATTGGGCCTAAAAAGGTTAAATAACACTGCTCTGCAACACTGCCTGTATAGTTACTTTGTGTTTATCCCAATGAAAGCTGTATAATTTGTCTTTTCTTCTTCTTCTTCTTCTTCTTCTTCACTTCCTCTTTTACCGCTGTGGGTGTCGAGGGAGATATAGGGTTCTGTTTCTAGCTCTTCTGGCTGCCTCGACCATAGGCACATCGTGCTGTTGTAGAGTTTCTCTGATGTTATCCTTCCATCTTGTTCTTGGTCTACCCCGTGCTCTACATCCTTCTTCTCTTTCCTTGTATGCTTTATATGGTATGGTGTCACAAGGCATTCTCTCTAAGTGGGCAAATTTTTCTTTTGTATTTATTATATTGTTATTAATTTTTTTGTGGTTTTATTTTACAGGTTTGATAGGTCCCAATGAGAAGGAGCCACCAGTTCATGGAAACAGTAAAGTAACGGAAAAAGAGGTTTCTAGAGAAAGACCTTTCACTCCCAGACCATCTGACAGAATACATGCTGCGACATCAATGCTGAGAGCCAAACTGTCAAGTGATCCCAATGCTGATGAAGAAATGATACCAGCTGGCAATGTTGTCTTTGTCTGGCCAAAACAGGACCAGCAGAATATTTCTGCTGAGGCTGAAATGGAAGATCAGGTCGGACGGGAAACAGAGTTTGCTCAGCGTATGCGGGAACACCAAATTATTAACCAGATCTACAGTGATGGTTCTTGGGAAGAAGGAGGAACTGGCAACATCATCCTCAAATCCGTGGATGAACTCGGATCGGTCATCGCTGCAGCAGTCATAAAGAAGACCATCGCTGGCATGCTGCACGTCAGTGAAGACTCTATTGTTGGGGATCCCCGCATCTTGGATATCTACCCATCCAAGGAACTCACCTGTGTATCTGTAGATAAACTGAACCTGTGCGTTGTGGTTGAACCATCAAACACTGCAGGCAGTCGGATGTCAGTAACTCCCAGTCCAATTTCAGCAACTCCCAATCCGACTGATGAAACCAATACAGATGGCGAAGTTCCTGACAAGGAACCGGTGCACATCAAATGGCACAAGGCCATCATCAAACCCGCGGAGGAAGACCCTGATGAGGAGTCACTCTTGGATAGCGATGAGGATTTTGAGGAGAGAGATGAACACTTTAGACGCAGGAAAGACAAATGGCACAGCTTGACTTCTCTGAAAGGGTTTCAGGCTTTTAAGAAATTCTTGGTTGGAACTCAGGGTGAGAAATACTGGGAACTTTGGATCGACATTGACAAGGGCCGCCTTATATCCAGTGAAGAGGAGAAACAGAAGTATGTAATATTTGCATTCCTTTTGCCAAGTACATCAACTGCATTCATGAAAACTTGAATTTGTAATCCATCTCTCGGTCTCTCTCCACCTGAACTGGGCTAATCTCTGTTCCCACATTACCTGATTCACTGAGTCAATTCCCTTTCTTTAATTCATCTGTAGCCTCATTGTCCTCTGTGGGCGATTACCAGCACAACTCAGCATGACTCACATTGTCCTCAAAGACAAAAAAAGAACAGGGTGAACACAGCTTGCATCTTCTATGACAAGAATTCATTTTTCTTTTACATTTATTATTGATGTAACACGCATCTAGTCTGCTTTTCTCCACTCTCCAACAAAATGTTGAAATGCTCACAAGTCTGTCACACTTATTACTAAAAGTTTAGTTGCAATTACTTTTGTGAGCAAAACTTGGAGAATTCTTCTGGTTCACAGCAAAACGTATATCAAGCTTGTCCATCACACACGATTGCCGCACAACTCTTTTGTTGCTCAGACAGACTGCTGTCATCCAGTCCATTTAACTGCACTGCAATTATTTTTGATACACATATACCTCCACGCTATCATTCCAGATCATATTGACATCCACTGCTTCTCATTACCTTCAGTGATCCTGTTGTTACAACATATACTAGCTTTTACCAACTCACAACATGGCCACAGAAAAAAACATCTCCCTCTAATACTGGTAAACAGTTCTTTTTGTGAGTTAATGGCTGTGTGGTCCAGATGTTGGTGACATCATCATTTTACAATGTAATCCTCAACATTTACAAGAGTTCTAATGGAATGTTCTGGATGTTCACACACTTCTGGACTTTGGTCTTGTTACAGAACTTGAGTTGTGCCTGCAGATCCATTTTACAGATCTGTTTTATTTGCATGGAGACTAAGGGTTACTGGCCTGTCAGTCGAATGCACTCCCACTTCAAAAGAAACACCCCTAATTAGTCACTTTTTCCTGGCAGGCTAACCTGGGCAACAAAAACCTACAGAAGTTGGAGATGTTGGCTGAAAAGCACAAATACTGCAGCCTTGTTTTAATAGGCACAACTCATTTACGTCTTTAGGTGAACGCAGAAAAAAAAGGGGGGAAAAAAAGAAGTTGCTTTTTACAACATGTTTGTGATGGGGACTCTGTGTATTTTTTGTTCCAAAATTGGGCCTAGTAAGCTATACGAGGAACCAGGCTATACTGGGAACCAGGCTATACGAGGAACCAGGATTCAGGTTCCATGGTAGGCAGTTTAGAAAAACTATAGTTAGCAGGGGATACCAGGCCCTTAGCCATCCTGGCAGCTGGTCTAGGAGGAAAGGTCTGACAGGGAAACAGATAGAGCACTGCTCTTCTTATCTGGCAGCATCTTCAGCATGCTTTGCCCCAAACGTACTGGTGTTACCTTTCCTTTGGAGTAAACAAGGCAGGCTGAGAGAGGGAACATGATTTATCAGCAATGTACGGTCTCCTCAATTCTGTCCCAGCTTTGTACTGTGGAGGGGATGAACTTCATCCCTGGCCATAACTGGTCTCAGCATTACTCACTATCATCATAAGCTGTGAGTCCCCAGCCTTCTCATGGCACAATATAACACTATCGTCTTGAAAGACGGAAAGGTGCCTACAATATAACACTATCGTCTTGAAAGACGGAAAGGTGCCTACAATATAGCACTATCGTCTTGAAAGACGGAAAGGTGCGCACAATATAACACTGTCGTCTGGAAAGACGGAAAGGTGCCCACAATTTAACACTATCGTCTTGAAAACGCAAAGGTGCCCACAATATAACACTATCGTCTGGAAAGACAGAAAGGTGCCTACAATATAACACTATCGTCTGGAAAGATGGAAAGGTGCCCACAATATAACACTATCATCTGGAAAGACGGAAAGGTGCCCACAATATAACACTATCGTCTGGAAAGATGGAAAGGTGCCCACAATATAACACTATCGTCTGGAAAGATGGAAAGGTGCCTACAATATAACACTATCGTCTGGAAAGGTGCCCACAATATAACACTATCATCTGGAAAGACGGAAAGGTGCCCACAATATAACACTATCGTCTGGAAAGATGGAAAGGTGCCTACAATATAACACTATCGTCTGGAAAGACAGAAAGGTGCCTACAATATAACACTATCGTCTGGAAAGATGGAAAGGTGCCCACAATATAACACTATCGTCTGGAAAGACGGAAAGGTGCCCACAATATAACACTATCGTCTGGAAAGATGGAAAGGTGCCTACAATATAACACTATCGTCTGGAAAGACAGAAAGGTGCCTACAATTTAACACTATCGTCTGGAAAGATGGAAAGGTGCCCACAATATAACACTATCGTCTGGAAAGACGGAAAGGTGCCCACAATATAACACTATCGTCTGGAAAGATGGAAAGGTGCCTACAATATAACACTATCGTCTTGAAAGACGGAAAGGTGCCCACAATATAACACTATCGTCTGGAAAGGTGCCTACAATATAACACTATCGTCTTGAAAGATGGAAAGGTGCCCACAATATAACACTATCGTCTGGAAAGACGGAAAGGTGCCAGTCAGCAGAGAATACATTGCAGTAAACCTTAACTGCGAAGATGGCACTCAGATTTGTTGTTCAATAATCGTAGAGATAAAAGAGTTGCAACTGTCTTTGCTCAAAACAGGTACATTCTACAAATGAGAGACAAATATTACAAGAAAGGGGCGCAGTACGAACTGTCCGCAGAAAACAAGAGGAAACTAAAACTGGAGAATTTGTCACACTGGACCCCAGAATATTTGTTACAGGTGCAAGCACATGTACTGGAACCTCTTGTTCTATACTGGTAGGTAAACAATTATTTGTTCTGTGCTAGTAGGTCAACCATTATTTGTTCTTTACTAGTAGGTCAACCATTATTTGTTCTAATTATGAGTACATGTACTGGAACTTCATGTTTTGCTTAAATTGGTCAACCATTATTTGTTCTGATTGCAAGCACATGTACTGGAACTTCATGTTTTGTTATAGTAGGTAAACCATTATTTGATCTTTACTAGTAGGTCAACCATTATTTGTTCTGTACGGGTTGGTCAACTATTATTTGTTTTGGTTGCAAGTACATGTACTGGAACCTCTTGTTCTGAAACGTTAGTCTTTATTAAGAAGAGTTGATAGTTATTATCACCAATGCTTGCAACTAGACTTGCATAAAGAAGAGGAAAAAGGAAGGAGAACAGAATGGAGGAGGAAAAAGAGAAGTGATATAAAGTAGTAGGGTGTTGTAGAGGTGGATAAGTTAGTGAAGAATAGGAGGAGAACTGAAATGGGAGAAAATGAAGAGGATGTAAGGGAGGAAATGGAGATGATTATTAAATTCTTTTAATTTTTTTATCATTTGTTTCAGGGCACCCCGCTACCTGTTGAGCCACCTAATGCACACGTCTCCTGAGAAGTATTACCTCTACAACCAACTAAAACTGGCCACATTTAATCCAGTCTCAGATCCGTACCCCCATACACAGGAACTTCTTCCCCTCAGACCCAAGTCCTGCTGCCCAATAAACAGACTCGGACTCGGTTTTGGGGAGGTACATTTATGTTTTTCTGTATGCTTTGACATAACAAGGGTTGTATTCATTTTATTTATCTGGCCTGTTTGAATGAATATGAGCAGTGGTGTTTTTTTTTTTTTCTAGCGATTTTCTGCACCAACACCTTTTTTTTTTTTTTTGCTTTTGTTTTAGTCAGTACCAGCAACTTTTATAAAGACACTTTTTGATGAGTACCTGGACCGTTTTATCTAAGAAAACCCTGGATATGAGTATAATGTATGATTCAGTGGTGTCAGTAAATCTGGCCTACATTGGCCTGTATTACCTGGTCAGGTCTGATCAGATATGAAAACAGTAATTTGTACATGTATTTCAGTTATAGACATTGACCCAGCTTACTTGAAGGTCACCACATAATTTGTCTGTTTCTGAACTTGATAAATGGCACAAAATACAGTTCACTTTCTCATTTAAAATTTGTGAAAAACAGGTAAGTCCTAGCAAAACCTAAATGTTCACACTCAAAAAGTAAATGCATAGGGCAGCAGCGATAGATGTGCCAGCACCGTGTCTCACCAGAATTGAAGCTCACTGTTGATGGACGTAGTCAGTCACCATAAGCTTGAATTTGCACAAGCAATACTGCATAAAGTACATGCCAGTCCAAATGTGATCATCCATGTTTAATGCAATTCACAACACAGAACTGCCAAAGACACACGAGAAAAATTATTACACTTGAAACCTACAGCTCATAGTTTCACACCAAGCACTTCGCTGAGTAGCAGGTAAGTGCTGGAGCCTTTGGACTCTTAGACTAGAAATGGGGAAATTGCACCAACCAACCATCGCTAGAAGCAAATAACACCTCAAGGTGTCAGCAGACAGCCAACCTGTCTACCATCCGTTGTAACATTCTTAAAGACTCCAACAGCAAGTGTTTAAGTTATACATCTCATCCTTTTTAGGACAACATTTTTCGTTTTTTTAAGCCCTACTCTGGCTCTTGTCAGGGGCCGCAATATAGCCTGGCCATAAAAATGGCCTAAAGGCTGAACGTGGTTTCTGGGACCTCTCCACGGTGATCCTGACCCACATGGTGGCACATTGTATCATTGGTTGTTTATCGCTTGTGTGATGTCCTAGTGTCAGTCAGTCAAGTGTTTAAGCAAAATTGTGGAAACAGACATAATGCCTGGAAAGAAAAAATTTGATGTCGCAAGAAGGACAGGTACAGAATGCGTGACACTGGGAAGTAAGTAGCTACAAAGACAGCAAAGAACTTCACTGAAAGACACTGTGCTAGATGATTTGGTCATTGAGTAAATCTACCCACAAGCAGCCTGCCCCAGACAGCCCTGACGTTGAGTTACAATAAAAACAGAATGACAGCAGACAAACTCTGTCAATCACAGCAACATATGATGTGTGATGAACTCTTTCCCTCAAAAACCATCACAACCAGTGTTCTGACTTTTTTTAAAAAACATTTGGTTTTAGCATACTGAAGAAGTGACGAGATGAATTTGCCAACAACTGTCTGGTAGTTGCTGGTCATGGTCGCCAGTTACCCGAGGATAGGCAGATGATCACTCTATAATGACAATGGCTAGGGCTACCTGACTGTAATTATCACTGCTAAGAAGGAAAGCAGTGGCAAAATACCTTTTTTAAAACGCCAAGAAAAGTCATTCGTGGTTTCATAAAAATAAATGAGGCAGTCAACCTGGCAGAGGTTGGGGACCTGGCAGTGGTTGGAGACCTGGCAGTGGTTGGAGACCTGGCAGTGGTTGGAGACCTGGCAGTGGTTGGAGACCTGGCAGTGGTTGGAGACCTGGCAGTGGTTGGAGACCTGGCAGTGGCTGGGGACCTGGCAGTGTTTGGAGACCTGGCAGTGGTTGGAGACCTGGCAGTGGTTGGGGACCTAGAAGTGCTTTCTACATTATTAGACACACTGTGTGGAGGGGAGTAGGGGTTGAAAAGGGGGGGGGGAGGCCCCAAGCTTAGATTGTGACCCATATAGGACTAAATGTTTTGCATGGCCGATGTCAAACACAGAGGAAGAAAGATGTGCCGTAGCAGAGGCAACAGTCGCCATTTTGTTTACTGCCACCACAAGGACAGTAGCAGAGGCAACAGTCACCATTTTATTTACTGCTACCACAAGGACAGTAGCAGAGGCAACAATCACCACTTTTTTTCAAGTGCTAATACAAGGGCAGTAGCAGAGGCAACAATCACCATTTTGTTTACTGCCAACACAAGGGCAGTAGCAGAGGCAACAGTCACCATTTTGTTTACTGCCACCACAAGGACAGTAGCAGAGGCAACAGTCACCATTTTTTTACTGCCACCACAAGGGCAGTAGCAGAGGCAACAGTCACCATTTTGTTTACTACTAACACAAGGACAGTAGCAGAGGCAACAGTCACCATTTTGTTTACTGCCACCACAAGGACAGTAGCAGAGGCAACAGTCACCATTTTGTTTACTGCCACCACAAGGGCAGTAGCAGAGGCAACAGTCACCATTTTGTTTACTACTAACACAAGGACAGTAGCAGAGGCAACAGTCACCATTTTGTTTACTGCCACCACAAGGACAGTAGCAGAGGCAACAGTCACCATTTTGTTTACTACTAACACAAGGACAGTAGCAGAGGCAACAGTCACCATTTTGTTTACTACTAACACAAGGACAGTAGCAGAGGCAACAATCACCATTTTGTTTACTGCCACCACAAGGGCAGTAGCAGAGGCAACAGTCACCATTTTGTTTACTGCCAACACAAGGGCAGTAGCAGAGGCAACAACTACCACTTTGTTTACTGCCAACACAAGGGCAGTAGCAGAGGCAACAATCACCATTTTGTTTACTGCCACCACAAGGGCAGTAGCAGAGGCAACAGTCACCATTTTGTTTACTGCCAACACAAGGGCAGTAGCAGAGGCAACAGTCACCATTTTGTTTACTGCCACCACAAGGGCAGTAGCAGAGGCAACAGTCACCATTTTGTTTACTGCCAATACAAGGGCAGTAGCAGAGGCAACAGTCACCATTTTGTTTACTGCCAACACAAGGACAGTAGCAGAGGCAACAGTCACCATTTTGTTTACTGCCAACACAAGGGCAGTAGCAGAGGCAACAGTCACCATTTTGTTTACTGCCAACACAAGGGCAGTAGCAGAGGCAACAATCACCATTTTGTTTACTGCCAACACAAGGACAGTAGCAGAGGCAACAGTCACCATTTTGTTTACTGCCACCACAAGGACAGTAGCAGAGGCAACAGTCACCATTTTGTTTACTGCCACCACAAGGGCATAGCAGAGGCAACAGTCACCATTTTGTTTACTACTAACATAAGGACAGTAGCAGAGGCAACAGTCACCATTTTGTTTACTGCCACCACAAGGACAGTAGCAGAGGCAACAGTCACCATTTTGTTTACTACTAACACAAGGACAGTAGCAGAGGCAACAGTCACCATTTTGTTTACTACTAACACAAGGACAGTAGCAGAGGCAACAATCACCATTTTGTTTACTGCCACCACAAGGGCAGTAGCAGAGGCAACAGTCACCATTTTGTTTACTGCCAACACAAGGGCAGTAGCAGAGGCAACAACTACCACTTTGTTTACTGCCAACACAAGGGCAGTAGCAGAGGCAACAATCACCATTTTGTTTACTGCCACCACAAGGGCAGTAGCAGAGGCAACAGTCACCATTTTGTTTACTGCCAACACAAGGGCAGTAGCAGAGGCAACAGTCACCATTTTGTTTACTGCCAACACAAGGGCAGTAGCAGAGGCAACAATCACCATTTTGTTTACTGCCACCACAAGGGCAGTAGCAGAGGCAACAATCACCATTTTGTTTACTGCCACCACAAGGACAGTAGCAGAGGCAACAGTCACCATTTTGTTTACTGCCAACACAAGGGCAGTAGCAGAGGCAACAGCCACCATTTGGTTTACTACTAACACAAGGACAGTAGCAGAGGCAACAATCACCATTTTGTTTACTGCCACCACAAGGACAGTAGCAGAGGCAACAGTCACCATTTTGTTTACTACTAACACAAGGACAGTAGCAGAGGCAACAGTCACCATTTTGTTTACTACTAACACAAGGACAGTAGCAGAGGCAACAATCACCATTTTGTTTACTACTAACACAAGGACAGTAGCAGAGGCAACAATCACCATTTTGTTTACTGCCACCACAAGGACAGTAGCAGAGGCAACAATCACCATTTTGTTTACTACTAACACAAGGACAGTAGCAGAGGCAACAATCACCATTTTGTTTACTGCCACCACAAGGACAGTAGCAGAGGCAACAATCACCATTTTGTTTACTACTAACACAAGGACAGTAGCAGAGGCAACAACTACCACTTTGTTTACTGCCAACACAAGGGGCTGAGCTTCAAAAACTACTTCTGATTCTGAAAGACCTAAAAGTGACAACAGAAAGATAAAAGGGAATTAAATGTTCTTTGTCATAATGACTATAAGTTGTTTTTTGTTCGACAGATAAGATGCTAACAATTAATTTCTTTACTGTTACTAATTTTCAGATGAATGATAACATATATATGACAGATACAAAAGACATGAGAACAATGCCTCAAGTTGGAAACCGACGTATATATAGCCAAGATACTATCAACCGACTGGCCAACACCCCAACTGCCAAATATCTCAGAAAGTTAGAAGTTAAAAATAAACCTGCAGTTTCAGCAAAACCTCGAATGTCTGATTTTCCTGAGAGCATTTTGGCTACCAAAAAAATGTCAGTTGTGGCGTCTGCAAGGTCATCCAAGAATGTAGCAAGTGAAAATTCAGGAATGTTCTCACAGAAGAGCAGTTTGATAATGCCATTGACACAGAAACGTGGGATGTCCGCAGCAAATGTAAGCGTTTCTTGTCCCTATAATTCCCTGGATGTGTTATTCAACACTAAGGAGGAAAAGCTGGCGAAAACATCGAAGAGCACCCTGCCCCCTCTGGTAAAAGTTGGGGATTCCAAGGGAGATAAATGCAAACCAATCAAGTTAGCACCCATGAAAAAGTAAGTCAGTATTTATTTTTTTGCTTTCTTACTTCTGGTTTAGAAAGTCAGTCAGTCACTTCTGGTTTTCTTCTTTGCTTCTCTTTTATTCTATTCCATCTTTCATATTGTTATCAGTGTTTGAACCTCGGTTGGTCTTGGCACCAGCTGGTCAAGATGAAAGACAAGAAGAAGAATACTAACCCCTCTTCTTCTTTTTCTTCTTTTTCTTTTTCTTCTTCTTCTTCTTCTTCTTCTTCTTCTTCTTCTTCTTCTTCTTCTTCTTCTTCTTCTTCTTCTTTTTCTTCTTCTTCGCAGTCACCAGCTGTAAACTCCAGAGGAAAGTTCTGGTCATATGTCCACTTCTGGACTTTGGTCTCTTTCTAGAACTTGAGTTGGGGTGCAGTTTAATTTGACAGATCTTGCTCATTTGTATATCAATGTGTATTATCAGTGCCAAACATGAACACTTACATCCTTCAATGAACATAAAACTCTAACAATAGAGATGAAATGCCTTAGAAGAGCTGTATGTTCACCCCATGCTCTAAAGGGTGTGGGTTTGTTTTGCTGTTGTTCAGTTCAAGAGTGCAATTTTTTCGAAGGTTCTAGGTATTGTTGCTGGAGCTACAGAGTTTTTGCTTTGTGTGATGCTCGCAGCAGACAGCTAGCCGATCTGCATAGAGAGACCAGGAATAAAATCCATCGCAGTGAAGTTGGTCCTCTCAACTGTAATTTAAATTTATTTAAATTTTTTTAAAACTTTAATATAACGGTAGTTGATGCTACCTGTTCTCTGTTAAGATCAAATGTTGGACAAAATGACGCCCCGTCAAAATGTACAAAACCTGCTGTCCTACAGTGTGCCAACAGCTTAAAGCAGCGAGGCACATTAAAGAGGATGCTGGTGTAACAGGCTCATGTCAGCCATTATAAATTCGGTTTGACTGCACTTGCGGAAAAACCTGGCAGCTCAGGGAGTCAGGGTGCTCTATAAAAAGACTTAGGCACCCGGAAAATGGGCTATTTGGCTTTCTGCATTCTGATCCCGCAGTTGCCCTAGGGACAGGAGATCTTGCCTAGTGGTGGCAACACCATACATGAGCTAAAACTGGATGTGGGCGACTGAGTGGAGATGAATGGAATTGTCTAACTGATTACGGAAGTGGTATGTTTCCATAGTTAAATCTGAATTTGTCTCCAGTTGTTAAATTGTGTAGAGTTAGATATCAGCGTGTATTGTCGCTCGGAGATATTTGTTTTCAGGTTCCTAGAGTAGAACTTTTGTTATTTGAAGCGCTTCACACATGTCTGTGTGAACTCGAGGCTGGTTGGTAATGTAATGTATTATGTGTGAAGTGCTTAATCTTACGTTAAGTAAAATAAACAAATGTTTAATGTGATAATTATAGTTCTAGTTGTTTTGATTTGGTTTAGGACTTGTAGTTAGTCGGCCTAATTTTACTGTTACTGCTGATTAGAACATATACTGTCAGGGCTAAAACACTATTGGTCTTAGTCTCTGCCTTATGAACTTTTTCTTTTCTTGTTACTGGGGCAGCTTGAGTGTAGGTTTGGCTCCCACTCACCACGACAATACTTGTTGAAGCTCTTGTAGGCTTGGAGTTGAGATAGGTTCAAGAAGTAGATTTTTATATTCTTCTTTGAAGTTTCTGTCCCCTTCCTTTACAACATTCCCCTTAGGCTTTGCTTCTAGTACACTAGGTAGAGGAAATGCAGCCTGAAAGCCTTAGTCTTGGAAGGCAGCTGGTCTAGGAAAGAAGCTCTGACAGGCGGGCAGACAGAGCACTGCTCTTCTGATCTGGCAGTTTTTGCTGCATGCTGTGTTAAAAATATATTATTGTTGACTTTACTATAGAGTACAGAAGGCAAACTGAGAGGTGGAGCATGCTGTAGGGGCAAAATGTATTGTCCAGGCTTTGTGCTATAGATATCCACAAGCGGGTCTTGCTTGTCACACTCACTGTCCCCATGGACTGAGAATCTTACGCCTCCAGATAACACAGTATGGTACTATCATCTTAAAAGATGAAAATACACCAAAAGTTTAATAAATATTGTATTATGTGCACATAATTTAAAGCATATGTGTCTCTCCTGCCTTATAGATCTGACAGTGAGGGCACTACTAACTATACTTTCTACCGCCAAGACTCCAAGGAAACCAGTAAAAGTTGCCAGATGTACCAAGACTCTCTTACACAGAGTCAGATAGCAGCACAAGATACTGAGGGCTTGGAGTGTGAGTTCCTGAGCAGTAAACGCTTGGAGATGCTGCTACAGGCTCTGCACCATGAGCAGAACTCCGGTCGGCCATTTAGAAAATTTATTGTGAAAAGTGACAGAGAGGTTTGTTCCAGTCATTTTTGTTTTGTTTTTTGTAGCAGAGAGATTTGTTGCGTTTAAATCATCTTATATGGTTCTTGTAGCAGAGAGATTTGTCTGTATTCAAATCATGTTATTTCATTCTTGTAGCAAAGAGTTTTTGTGTGTGTGTGTTCAAACCACTTTATTTCATTCTTGTAGAAAAGAGATTTGTTGTGTTCAAATCATTTTATTTCATTCTTGTAGCAAAGAGTTTTTGTGTGTGTGTGTTCAAACCACTTTATTTCATTCTTGTGGAAAAGAGATTTGTTGTGTTCAAATCATTTTATTTCATTCTTGTAGTAAAGAGATTTGTTGTGTTTAAATCATTTTATTTCATTCTTGTGGAAAAGAGATTTGTTGTGTTCAAATCATTTTATTTCATTCTTGTAGCAAAGAGTTTTTGTGTGTGTGTGTTCAAACCACTTTATTTCATTCTTGTGGAAAAGAGATTTGTTGTGTTCAAATCATTTTATTTCATTCTTGTAGCAAAGAGTTTTTGTGTGTGTGTGTTCAAACCACTTTATTTCATTCTTGTAGAAAAGAGATTTGTTGTGTTCAAATCATTTTATTTAATTCTTGTAGCAAAGAGTTTATGTGTGTGTGTGTTCAAACCACTTTATTTCATTCTTGTGGAAAAGAGATTTGTTGTGTTCAAATCATTTTATTTCATTCTTGTAGCAAAGAGATTTGTTGTGTTCAAATCATTTTATTTCATTCTTGTGGAAAAGAGATTTGTTGTGTTCAAATCATTTTATTTCATTCTTGTAGCAAAGAGTTTTTGTGTGTGTGTGTTCAAACCACTTTATTTCATTCTTGTGGAAAAGAGATTTGTTGTGTTCAAATCATTTTATTTCATTCTTGTAGCAAAGAGTTTTTGTGTGTGTGTGTTCAAACCACTTTATTTCATTCTTGTAGAAAAGAGATTTGTTGTGTTCAAATCATTTTATTTAATTCTTGTAGCAAAGAGTTTATGTGTGTGTGTGTTCAAACCACTTTATTTCATTCTTGTGGAAAAGAGATTTTGTTGTGTTCAAATCATTTTATTTCATTCTTGTAGCAAAGAGTTTTTTGTGTGTGTGTGTTTCAAACCACTTTATTTCATTCTTGTAGAAAAGAGATTTGTTGTGTTCAAATCATTTTATTTCATTCTTGTAGCAAAGAGTTTATGTGTGTGTGTGTTCAAACCACTTTATTTCATTCTTGTGGAAAAGAGATTTGTTGTGTTCAAATCATTTTATTTCATTCTTGTAGTAAAGAGATTTGTTGTGTTCAAATCATTTTATTTCATTCTTGTGGAAAAGAGATTTGTTGTGTTCAAATCATTTTATTTCATTCTTGTAGCAAAGAGTTTTTGTGTGTGTGTGTTCAAACCAATTTATTTCATTCTTGTGGAAAAGAGATTTGTTGTGTTCAAATCATTTTATTTCATTCTTGTAGTAAAGAGATTTGTTGTGTTCAAATCATTTTATTTTATTCTTGCTGCAGAGATGTTTGTTTCTGTTCTTTATCCTTCTCACTCTGCCTAAAATATTGTCAGTTCTGCCTAAAATATTGTCAGTTCTGCCTAAAATATTGTCAGTTCTGCCTAAAATATTGTCAGTTCTGCCTAAAATATTGTCAGTTCTGCCTAAAATATTGTCAGTTCTGCCTAAAATATTGTCAATTCTGCCTAAAATTTGTCCCATTGTATGTTAAAAGCAGTTTTAAATCCTAAAAAATACAGTCAAATTGTTTTTATGTCAGAGCAGAAATAGAAATCCAGACTTGCACAGTTGATGGTAGTTGTACATTTTACCCCACTAGGACATCACACAAGCTATACACACCCGATGACACAAAGTGCCACCATGCAGATAAGGATCACCCGTAGAGAGGTCCCAGAAACCGCATTTAGCCATTAGACCATATTCACGGCCAGGCTATATTATGGCCCCTGGCAAGAGCGAGCGTGGGGCTTCAAAATGGCTCAAAGTAATACTAAAAGTTGATGGTGACCTTGAACTTTCAAATCCACTTTATCCTTGTATATGTTGTGGGGTCTAATTTGAGGGGAAACAAGAAGAGACCCCCTGACCCCCTGACCCCCTGACCCCCAACAAGCATACCCTCAAAGCAACTGACCAGGGCTTTGCTGCAATCAGATGTGCTAGTTTGAAAGGTACAGATATCACAGCCTTACTGTGAAACCACAACACAACATTGCAACCACCATTTTTTAGGGTAAATGGTAAATGCAGAAGAAGTGTTCAGTTTCTGTCATGTCTGTTTAAATAAAGTAGTTACAGACCCTTTTCACACCAGGCATACGATGTTAGACTCACAGTTTTACAGACCCTTTTCACACTAGGCATATGATGTTAGACTCACAGTTTTACAGACCCTTTTCACACCAGGCATATGATGTTAGACTCACAGTTTTACAGACCCTTTTCACACCAGGCATATGATGTTAGACTCACAGTTTTACAGACCCTTTTGAGACCAGGCATATGATGTTAGACTCACAGTTTTACAGACCACTCAGAAAGTGAAGTGGTCATCATCACACCAGTTACCTTTACATCCCAGGACATTTCCTGGTGCCGGTTTAAGGCTGGGTCAACTTGAGGGCCGAAGTCAATTATATTTTTTAAAAATCTATTCTGGTCAGGATTCGAGTCCAAGACCATTAATCCAGCAGGTAAGTTTCTAGACGCTCAGAGGTAAGGCAGGGCGGACGTTTAATCAGAATGCTACTTGCACCATTAGTACTAAAACCCTGCACTGGTTGCTGAACATGTGGACAGATCACTTATGGGAATGCTCCAAGTGCTGTTATGTCAGTTATTGAAATAACAAAACTCAACTCATAACTGTCTAGAAACTCTGTATTATCCTATAATCTCACATGTGTACAGCAGTATATGTATATAGGGTGTTTGTAAAGTCTCCCTACATTTTATATGCAGAACAAATTTGAAAAACCCAAGTACATGACATCATAAGAAAATTAGCTTTAAAAAAGGTCGTTACATTAGTTAAACAGTTACTGCAATGGTCTAATGCTGTCTGAGGAAAGGTGGTAAGTCGTAGTGAAATATTCATTGCAACAGGTGTTGGAAATGTCCACACAGACTTTAAGTGATGACTGTAAAGTCTCTTCATATTGTCAAATACCTTCTCAAATGTATCTGTTGTTATTTCTTGAACAGTAATTTTGACTGATTCTTTTGATGACATGACTATTTTATGAGCGTAGAGAATGACTCCAGCAGACGACAGCTATTCACTGCGATTCACTCTGTAATTTTCCTCCGAAGTCCTAGTACATCTGCCGGAGAGGCGGGGAACGAGAACTGCGAACAAATAAGCCAGTAAAACGGATGTACACGCAAAACTCAGGTCAAGGTAAAAGCCAAAAGTCCATTTTGGACGAACAACGGCGACTTACCGCCGGAATTTACAGCCGGTGAACAAGAAGAAGAAGAAGAAGAAGCTCTGTAATTGACTGTAGAGCTAATGTTTTGATCACGTCAAGTATGTTTTTCACATTAGTTTCTTCACATTTGTTCTACATACATAGTGTTGTGAGACTTTACAAACACTCCGTACATATGTATATGTAAAAAATTGCTATTCTATAATTAATACATATTTAACAAACAGACAATGTATTGACTGGCACTCACAGAAAGAAGTAGAAAGATAGAAGAATACACTAGACAAACATAAAAATTGACAGTTATAGTTACCATGCTGGAAAACGAACCTGTCACCTCTTTCTACTTCTTTGTATGAGTGCCAATCAATACATTGTCTGTTTGATTATTAAATTTTTAATGTTTCAACAGTCTCAAATCTATTTATTTCTTTAGAGTTAATACATTTATGTGACCCTGTGGCTTAGAGATGAGTGAACGTTTCACACTTCATGATGTACCAGGTTTTAATTGCCAAAGCAGGCAATTTAAATAAAAATATCATGCTTGTGAGTGTCAGGCAGACAGTGGAGAGTTGCACTGTGGAAGAGAATTGGGATCTCATCACGTAATATTTGGTGTATGCACTATTCCACTGTAGTCAACCTACAGAGGGCACTTTGAATATATGTATTGACTTCTTTTTACAGGACTGGCTAAACTGTCTTGACTTCTGGGAGAAGGTTCAAGTCTATAGGAGGCTGTTTTATAAAGATAAACTAGACCTGCATCTGATTACCAAACATGCCAGGGTAGGTAGAGTTGCTTAAAAACGTCATTAAGCCTAGCCACTCCAGTGACAGAGTGTGTAAATATTGGTGTGTTCCACAATAATATCCCCCAAAAAGTAGGTCACGTTTCATTCATAAATATTTTAGACTTATCTGCTGTCCCGGGGAGGGGGGGGGGGGGGGGGGGGGAGTTTACAGGTTTCCGCTATGTTGCTTTCTTTCTGGCTTGTCTTGCATTTACATTTTTCTTCAGAGAAAGAGAATGCCTGTGACATAGGTTGCAGCACTCTCTAGCGAGGTTGTGTATTAGACCCAGTTTCTAAATGTTTTTGTAGTGTTAAAAGGCTGGCGCGCTTAAATATACAACACGCGATATTATCGGCATTGCAGAACACCCCAGTAGTAGTGTGCGAAGGTCGAATGACTGAAGGCAGACCAATCAGAATTGAGCTAGTATGTATATGGGTGATCGGTGGGAAGATTATCATGGAACTGAGCTAAATGTCTTAAGAACCACTTTATCAGTATAATGGGTCCCAACTTGCCTAAGGGACTTAACGTCCATCATAGCTTTCTCTGATATTTTTTGTGTTATGGCCCTTGCTACCACAGCTTTAGGTAATGATGGCTAGGAATCATTTTTTTGTGTTCACAAATGTCCAAGCTTCAGCTGGCCAGGCATGTGGATTTCTTTCGCATATACCTCAGGTCATTTCGTGAATTTTTATTTTGTAATTGTAACAGCGTTTTATTTTGTAATGTGCTGATGAAAACTTTTTAGCCACAAAGCTCACTTGACATTTGTTGTTGTTATAATGGGAAGCTTACTAATTAAACTTTTCATTTGGTGTATCTTTTCATGATGTTTAAAACATGCTAGAGTAGGTAGAATGATATTGTTGATGTTGTCTGATCATCCTTCTACTGTCTCCTACTCTCAGTATCAGAACAATCATTCTGAAGATATGTTGTTGTCTCGTCATGTCCCTCCATTGCCTCATGTTCTTAGTAGCTTCTTAACTTAGTGTAAATCACAGGCAAATACTTGTATACTTGTGTGAGGCTTATGAAAGCAACAGCAGCTCCCACTGATGATTTTGCCAATTGAGTGGGAAGTGCTGGGCCTTTCCATCTTCTAGATCATCACCTAGGGGCCCTTTGGGAACAAGCAACGGAATCAGTAGAGAACTAAGATTATTATGGCCTGGAGAGAATGAGGCACCTGGGTATAACCAGAGGGTCTGGCCGGCTCGCTACACTCAGAGGAAAGGCATGATGGATATATAACCAGATTGTGACCAGTACCATCAGTACTGGAACCCTGTGCTGGATGCTGAAGATGAGGACGGAACACACATGGGAATGCTCCGATTGCTCTGATGTCAATTCTCGACTCAACTCAACTCATCACACAGGATTGTTTTTTTTTTTGGTTAAAACTTTTTTTAGGGCGGTTTAGGTTGAGAGAATCATGAGCCTGGGATTTAAGGCCACATGGCTAGGTTGAGTTGTTGAGTTGAGTTGAGTCAAGAATTGACATCAAAGCACTCAGGGCATTCCCATGCATGCTCCGTCCTTATCTTCAGCACACAACGCAGAGTTCCAATACTAATGGTACCGGTCACAATTTGGTTAAAAGTCCGTCTTGCCTTTCCTCTGAGTGTAGTGAGCCGGCCAGACCCTCTGGTTACACCCAGGTGCCTCATTCTCTCCAGACCATAATAATCTTCTTTCTCTACTGATTCTGATGCTTGTTCCCAAAGGGCCTTGACCACATCTGCCGTGTCATGTATCAATTCACCACCCAGTGGTGCGGATCCAGCCAATCTGTCTGCCTGTTCATTACCCACCATGGCAGCATGGCCTGGAGAAAAGATCCAAAGTATGCTATCACCCTGTGACCTTTCCAGTGAAGTTAGCCACTCTGCTCGAAGCATCCCTGTCTTCATATCTTTGAGCATGCTTTCAGAGTCTGTTAAAATCACAACATGTGTATGCATCTTGTTGTCTAGCCGCATGGCTAATGCATGTTAAGATTTTCCCCCCTAACAATAATACAAATCCCCATCCTTACAAGGACCCGACCTGTTTGTCTCTATTTATACATGCTTATTTCCCCAGTCAATATTTGCCCAGTGCATTGTTGAAGGTGCACCGCAGAGCATCAACGTCTCAGAGCAAGTCAAACTGTTCATCCTGGACAACCTGAATCCTCCGTATGAAGATCTGTTTGACCGAGCCGAAGAAGAGGCCCTGATAATGCTTTTTGAAGCTTTTAAGTTATACATGGAGGAGGACGTCATGAGTTATTGTGAGGTAGGAGATGAATTATTGTGAGGTAGGAGATGAATTATTGTGAGGTGGGTGAGGAGTTATTGTGAGGTAGGGGATGAGTTATTGTGAGGTAGGAGATGAGTTATTGTGAGGTAGGAGATGTGTTATTGTGAATCACTACACTGTTTGAGAATGACTGTACTGACTGTTTAAGAATGACTGCTCTGTTTAAGAATCACTACACTGTTTGAGAATGACTGCACTGTTTCAGAATCACTGCCCTGTTTGAGAATCACTTTATTGTTTGAGAAATCACTGTATTGTGTGAGAATCACTGCACTGTTTGAGCATGACTGTACTGTTTGAGAATCACTGCCCTGAATGAGAATCACTGTAATGTTTGAGAATCACTGTGTTGTTTAAGAATCACTGTATTGTTTGAATAAATCACTTCCCTATTTGTGAATCAATTTATTGTTTGAGAATCACTGTAATGTTTGAGAGTCACTGCCATGTTTGAGAATTACTGTATTGTTTGAGAAACCACTGTACTGTTTAGGCATCATAGTACTGTTGAAAAATAACTGCACTATTTGAAAATGGCTGCACTCTTTAAGAATCACTGCATTGTTTGAGAATCACTGCCCTGTTTGAGAATCACTTTAGTGTTTAAGAATCACTACCCTGTTTGAGAATCACTGTATTGTTTGAGAATCCCTGTATTGTTTGAGAAATAACTGTATTGTGTGAGAATCACTGCCCTGTTTGAGAATCACTGCACTGTTTGAGAATCACTGTACTGTTTGAGAATCACTGCCCTGTATGAGAATCACTGTAATGTCTGAGATTCACTGCCCTGAATGAGAATCACTGTAATGTTTGAGAATCACTTTAATGTTTGAGAATCACTGCCCTGAATGAGAATCACTGTAATGTTTGAGAATCACTGTATTGTTTGAATAAATCACTTCCCTATTTGTGAATCAATTTATTGTTTGAGAATCACTGTAATGTTTGAGAGTCACTGCCCTGTTTGAGAATCACTGTATTGTTTGAGAATCACTACACTGTTTGAGAATCACTGTACTGTTTGAGAATCCCTACACTGTTTGAGAATCACTGTACTGTTTGACAAACCCTACACTGTTTGAGAATCACTACACTGTTTTAGAATCACTACACTGTGTGAGAATCCCTACACTGTTTGAGAATCCCTACACTGTTTGAGAATCACTACACTGTTTGAGAATCACTGTACTGTTTTAGAATCACTACACTGTTTGAGAATCCCTTCACTGTTTGAGAATCAATGTACTGTTTGCAGATCACAGCACTAAGAGATTTAAATCCAGGTTTTGTTTGTTTCAGGTGGAGCGTACTCTCAAAGAGTGCCGCCTGGAAACCAGGAACACCAACATTCTCAACCTGCAGAAACTAGGACTCATAAAGGAAGTCAGTTCACCATGTTTTGTTTTGCCTCACTGATTTTGTCAGGTTTTCTTAACCAGGCCATGTTCAAAATGTGTCATACCTTTGTATACAGAAATAAATCACTGGAGGACCCACAACTCCATTATAGTCATATAATCAACAGTCGTTGTCTGGGTTCTAGGGCTTGATATAATTTGGGGGTGGGGGGGAGGGGGGGTTGGGGGGGGGGCAGGGGGGTGGTGTTGAATAACTGAAGAACTTAAAAACTTACACAATCCTTGTATTGATCACATGAATCATTGTATTTGTAATATGAATCCTTGTATTTTTAACATCAGTCTTTGAATTTGTGTTGTGTCAGCTCTGTGGCTAAGTCGATGCGAACATTTAGTAATTCCAGGTTCAATCCTAGCTGTGAACCATGCGCCTTGCGTTAGTTTCGACAGGGGTATCAAAGAAGCCGACCGTCCAGAAAGCAATGGCAAACTACTGGACGTACATTTGCCTAGAAAAACCACACAATAGCCAGGGGCTGTTGGGGTTGGTTCTGCAACATCCTGTAAAGGATACTCAACTAACCTTTGAATTTGTAACATGAATTCTTGTATTTATAAAATAACTGCCTGCATTTATAACATGAATCCTTGTATTTTCTACACGAATCCTTGTATCTTTAACATGAATCCTTGTATTTTTTTACACGAATCCTTGTATCTTTAACATGAATCTTTGAATTTTCCAAAGAAATTCTTATATTTTTAACATCAATCCTTATATTTGTAAAATGAATTCTTGTATTTATAACATGAATCCATGTATTGTTAACACATAACCTTCTATTTAAATCATGAATCTTTGAATTAATAACATAAATTCTCATATTTGTAACAGAAATCCTTGTAATTGCAACAGAAATCCTTGTAATTGCAACACAAATCCTTGTGTTTCCAGAGACCGCTTACACCGGATGACCCTATGGAGGGTTATATTGATCCAGTGTATGACGATTCTATCCTGCAAAGGGTCCCTGAACAATTCGCAAACTGGAACATGGCCAAGCTGGCACAGAACAAGCTAGAACTTGAGTACTTCCGGCAGTTTCTTATACCGAGATGTGCTGAAATTGATCTCAAGGTATCTATAATTAACATAATATTACCTTTGACCTCTTAGGGTCGTAAAGACGTATTGATGGAAGCACTTTTACACCAAACACGTCATCTTTCTCTGTTTTTCCTGTCCGTTTCTTGATGTTGTAATTCCAGATTCTTCATTGCCTTCTTTATTTTTGACCATCCCCCAATGTTCCTTGAAGAATAACCTTTGCAATCAAATCATGTCTCACCGCGTGCCTGAAACAAGCTCAGTTGTGACATTTCACCACTACCAAGAAAGGCTCCTTATGTCCTGCAAATTTTTATATATTTTTAGGGGTCCTAATGGAGCAATGATGTGCAATACAAGGCTCTTAATGTCTATTAGCCTCTCTTGCTCAAGCCTACCTCACCTTCACGTGGTGGACCCTGTTCTTCCCAGCAATCCAGTTGAAGGTTGGGGTCTCAACCCCAATTTCAACAGCGATCAAACATGACTGCCTGTTTTTACCAGGGCAGCCGTAAAGACAGAACCATCTCTTTCTGAATACAGAGTTCCGGGCGCAGGTGATGAATCGCTGAAGCTTTGAGAAATCTTAGCGATAAGCCATTGGTTGACGTATGAAGGATTTGAAATGATTTGTCTTTAGTCACCACGTGCCGCAAAAATCACCTCTCTGCAATAGCACGCCACCTTCTAAAATCTGGACAAAAAGAGATGGTTCTGTCTTTACGGGTGCCCTGGTAAAAACAGGCAGTCATGTTTGATCGTTCTTGAAATTGTACTTTAGTTATTAAGTATTCACTTATGTCCTTCATTTATGTAATTGTTACTGTAGTATGCACCTGACGAGATACAGCCAAATATGCCAGGTAATAAATTGTGCAATCTATTGTTTGTGTCTTCTTTGTTCAAATATATAGACGTGTCTGCATAATTCACAGAAAGGTCACTGTAACAGAAATGTCAATGACACACAGAAATGTCAATGTCATTTACAGCAATGTCATTTACAGCAATGTCATTTACAGCAATGTCATTTACAGCAATGTCATTTACAGCAATGTCATTTCATAAGATGCTGTCATTTCAGTGTTGGATGGATATGGAGGCCTGGAGGAGGACAGCACCGGATGACAGTGCCCTTCGAGACCAGAGGGCCATCGAAATTAAAAAGAATTACCTGAACAAGAAGTATTTCTTTGGGCCAAATAGTCCTGCCGGAAAGGATGGACAAAATAAGGTAATTTTTCATATTCTACACATGGCAGTCTGTAAATATTTTTATTTGTACCAACATTTTTTTTTAATGATGGTCATAAGTGTGGACGGACATAAGTGTGGATGGTCATAAGTGTGGATTGTCATAAGTCACATAGGTCATAAGTCGAGCAGAAGGTGTACATTCTTGGTCTGATTGAGGTCAACAAAGACAGTATTTGACAGTGTTGGTTAAACTAACAATTGACATACAAAGAGTTAACAAAACATTTGTCTGCAACAGAGAACAGTAAGAATATTATATTACCCCTGGAATTATCCAGAAAGGTCTGGTTCCGAATCATATACAGATGAAGTGAACTTTACATGTCAAAATTATGAAACGACATTCGTTGTGGCACAGAATGGCTAAGGATAAAATGATTTGGCATGAGTTGACAGAAAATATCTGTGGAAGCCTTTGGATCTGAAGATAAAGTGTTCACATGTGCATGGTGCCATCGGGCATTTTATGCTCAATAGTTCACTGGTGTGTAAATAGAGATTTGATTTACTTTGCTCTGTGTGAAAACATTTTGAATAAACACAAAAGAAAACGTACTGAAAATATTCCGGTTCTTTTCTTTTCTTTCATCCCATCTCAAGACCTGTTAGTTAGTTAGTTGTTACGGTTCCGGCATCACAGCAAACGAGCTTGGCCCATAATTGCTCAACGGCCTATGCCAGTGATTCCAGTCACAAACTGAGTCAGATACGCTGGATACTTCTAGTTAATGCCGTAGCCATACAAAGTGTCCTCGGTCAGCAAAACCCACACAATTTGATCTGGCAAACCATAAGGTTCATGCCTCCTTAAACACACTGCGAGACCAGGCATCATCGCTGAAAATCAACGTCATTTAACAAATAGCTTGGCGATGAGTAGATTAAAACTATTCCTGACCATTCTCCATATGTCCTCGGCAAAGTTGCAGCCCCAGCCTGCAAATAAATAGCAGCTATAGCTCACGCCTTCTCTCAAGAACACAACAAAGAAAAATACATTGCCCATTATTGCCAATATGTACAAATCTAAAACTCAGTCAATAACCCATAATCACAGCTCACAGTGTCACCAGGAGCACTAAACTCAGTAGTTCCAGTCTCTGAGACTTTATGGGAAATTCCTGGAAAAGTTCATTTGAACGTGAAAGGGGGGGGGGGGGTTTGATATTAGTTGGTGTTCATTTTATGCCCTAACACTCCTATAGTATAGGACTTTTCCAAGAATTGCCTATGAAATCTTGGAGACCCCGAGATGGGGTGAAATAAAAGAAAAGGACCAATATTCCTTACAGTCTTACCTTTGAGACGCTTCGGTCATATTTCCTGACCTGCTGGTTTTTCTGCAATTTTTCTCTTAGGTGATGGAAGTCGGTGGTGGATGGGGCAAATTTCTAGAAGATAAGCCTCATTTTAACAGCATACTAAAAGCTCAAAAGTATGTTAGAGCTCGATTGGAGAACAAACACCTGCCCCTTTTTCTAATCTCAAGGGACTTTCAGGAGCGGCATCTCATTGACTCCAGCATAATCTCGGATGATGATGATATGGCTGCAATTAATCAAAGACTTTCATTTAATATGATAAAAGTGATTAATGAAGGTGAAGAGGCATTTGAATCTGTGATTGAGAAGAAGGATAAGCTGTTTGTTGATCTGAATTATTGGTCATCGGAAGGGCAAGATCGATTGAGCATACCTTATTCCGATAGCGATGCAGATTCCTCACGAGCTTCTTATGCCAGATCTGTGGTAAGTATAGAGTGTGTTTAGCTTGAGAAGTAAGCCTAGGGTGTGTGTAGCTAGAGAAGTAGTAAGTCTAGAGTGCATGTAGCTAGAGTAGTAGTAATTCTAGAATGCATGTAGCTAGAGAAGTAGTAATTCTAGAGTGTGTGTAGCTAGTGAAGTAGTAAGCCTAGAGTGCATGTAGCCAGAGAAGTAGTAATTCTAGAGTGCATGTAGCTAGAGTAGTAGAAAGTCTAGAGTGCATGTAGCTAGAGAAGTAGTAATTCTAGAGTGTGTGTAGCTAGTGAAGTAGTAAGCCTAGAGTGCATGTAGCCAGAGAAGTAGTAGGTCTAGAGTGCATGTAGCTAGAGTAGTAGAAAGTCTAGAGTGCATGTAGCTAGAGTAGTAGTAAGTCTAGAGTGCATGTAGCTAGAGTAGTAGTAAGTCTAGAGTGCATGTAGCTAGAGAAGTAGTAACTCTAGAGTGTGTGTAGCTAGTGAAGTAGTAAGCCTAGAGTGCATGTAGCCAGAGAAGTAGTAGGTCTAGAGTGCATGTAACTAGGGTAGTAGTAAGTCTAGAGTGCATGTAAGGTGGCTGGTCAGTCACTGACCACATCACATCACCCATCACCTGGACTATTAAAATGTGAGGTCACATTTTCGCCAGTGGCAAACCTAGAGATCTTGATTGATTACTTAGTGGGTTCTTTAAACACATTTTTAAAAAAAATGTTGGTCAGTTCAACCCTGCAGAAGACAGCTTCACTTACAATTATGGACGGTTTTATGTGTCCCAAATTTAATGGTTTAATCAGGGCTATTCGACTAAGTTTACTCAGGGGTCAGTTTTTTTAAACAGGAATTATAACAGACAAGAGTCCTGAGCTTCACTAATTACTGAATGTGTATGAAAACTTAATGCCCGTAATGTAATCAACATAGAGGTGTAATTGCTAGGCAGTAGAAATAATGCAATGAACCAGAGGGTGTACTCTATGATCATATCCAACAGTTAAGTGGTGATGAAATACAACAAGTTGTGAGGGGCTTAAATGATAGTATCAGATACGGGAATGGTCAGTTGTTTTTATACTTGTGGAGAGGCTGAGGAGGAGATCAGATCACCTGTGGATCTGTTCAGAGGGCTACATTGATAGCCTTCACTAATCCATAATTTGCTAAGTCAGTCCCTGTGTGAACTCTAGGCCCCCCCTTTGGGGATGGGGGGGGGGGGGGGGTAATTGACCCACTGCCCCCCCCCTCCAAACCATTTAATAATAGGTGACTAATAAGGGGTGTTTTCTTCCATGTCGGAGCGCCTCTGCCTGATATGCCAGTCTGCATACAGATGAGCCAGAGTGCGAAACTCAAGACCAATGTCCAGAAGTGGACAAACAACCAGAAACTTCCGCTGGAGTTTACAGCCAGAGAATGTTAAGAACAGTAAGAAGAGAGAGGAAGTCAGCAGGCTCTGGACAAATGAGATGACCAGTGCTACACTTCACATATTGTAAAAGGATATACTGTGCAGACCTGATAAGGAGAACTTACCGGGGACCCAAGAAGGGGTTCTTCTTATCAGAAATTCCTCTTATCCAGATAAGTTCAAGCGAGAAAAATTGCCAGGGATAAACAAACTTCAGTAGTCTTCATCGCGCTGTACTAAATATGCATCACGGTGCACAGTGTGGAAGAGCATCTTTTACTTTTGTACCAAATACCTGGAGAGTCGCCATGGCATAGTCGTTAGACGCTCGCCTGTGAATCAGAAGGTCGTGGGTTTGCTCCCTGGCGGAGCCTGACTTTTAAAAAAAATGACCTTGGCTTCCAGATTGACCAAGCCTTGAGTGGGTACCAGGTGCAGTTCTGGGAAGTAAAGGTGGCTGGCGTGGTGCTGACCACATCACCCATCTTGTGCCGTTGGTCTATAAAATATAGGTCTAGCCCTATATACCCAGTACACCTGAAAGGCGTGGAAAAGGGTCTTTTACTTTACCAAATACCTGGTATACTTTAACGTGGCATGGAATGAATAGCCTTTTACATTGTAACCGAATACCCAGTACATGATGAAGTGTGGATCTGACATTTACCCTTCCATTGTATCTCTATTATACCATGACCAGTCATGGAATAATCTTTATGACCTTTTAACCAAAATACACAATTTTGTGGAAGGTATCTTTAATCTTTTCACCAAATACCCCAAATGCCTTGACAAGGCATGGAAAAGTGGCTGTTACCTTTTTTTTTTTTACCAAATACCCAGCACGTATTAAGACTGCATGAAAGAGGTTCATTTACTTTTTAAAAATTACTTTAACAGCTGTCTGCATATAAGGTGCTGCCCCCTGTCGAATCAAGAAGTGTAGTGCAAAAACCATCACATAAGACCTTAGCTGGGTTTAAACCACCAACAGCAAGCCAAACAGGCAAACTGCACGTTAAAGAGAGTAAGAGTGGCATGCCAAGAGGGAAAGAACCTGCGAAGAAAACAATATCATGCTCACGATGGGATTTGTTGTTACAAAAGCATGCTAAATTGATAACACCGATGGGATTAATAGAGAATATTATTAGACAGTCATCTGGTTCAGAAGAGGTAAGAGTAAACGCGTTTTTCCACACTTAGTGGATTGCGGTTTTTAAAAAAAAAATTGTTAAATAAAAAAACCTATGGGGGTGGATGTATCTTCTTTATCTTCTTCTTCTGCCTGTTATCCCCCAGTGGGTCAAGGTGTCTAAGTTTCAGACTTGTGTAAGGTTCTAATCATGTTAGGTCTAGAGTGCAGAGACTGGCTGGTGCTACAGAATCCGAAGTTCAACAAATGATTCATGACAATTCCCGCCCAAGTGATGTGATTGTCTATACTGATGGCTCTGTATGAGAGGCAGACGAAGTGCACGGGGGTTCACTGCAAAAGTGAATGGACGTCGCCTAGCGCAACAAAGTCTGGCATATGATATCAAGTCTATTTTGAGAATGGAGGTGGACGCAGTCTCTGCTGCCTTCCGCTGGCTTGAGAATCAGCTGTACACACATGTCGTCATTGTAACTGACTCACAGAGCATGTTGAGAAAGGTGGAGTCAGGCATGCTTCGTGCAAAATGGCAAGCATCACTTCAGAGGTCCCTGGGTAGTTAGCATCCTTTGGATATTTTCTCCAGGTGATGCAGTTGCGTTGGGAAATGAGCAGGCAGATAGACTAGCTGGCTCTGTACCATTTGGTGGTGTTCTGATGTATGACAAGCTTGATATTGTGAGGGCCCTTTGGGAATGAGTGAACAGTGCGGAGGCGCAGATAGATCATTACGGTCTGTGGAGAATGGCGCTGTGAGGAGTTACCAGGGGATCTGGCCAGCGCTCAACACTCAGGGGAAGGATGAGACGGATATACAATCAGACAGTTACTGGTGCCGTCGGTATTTGAACTCTTTGCTTGCTGCTGAAGATGGGGACTGAGCACTTATGGAAGTGTCCCAAGTGCTGTGATGTCAGTTCCTAATTCAACATACATCATACCCTAGTGGAAGTCAAGGCTGCCAAGCCCCTCATGCCAAGTTGCTCTAACCTTCACTGTTGCATGCAGCTCACGCCAAGTCCTCGCCACTTTTGTTTTTTTTAACTTCACTCTCCAGCTCCTTTCTCCATGTGTTTTTTGGTCTGCCTTTATTTTTAGGACCCTGTGGGTTCCGTTGCAAAGACATTCTAGTTATATTGTTCTCAGGTTTATTAATAAGCATAATAGTCGTGGACTATCTCCCATCTTTCCTGTAGCAAGATAGAGATTTGAGTTGTGGATTATCTCCCATCTTCCCTGTAGCAAGATAGGGATGTGAGTCGTGGATTATCTCCCATCTTTCCTGTAGCAAGATAGATATGTGGGTCTGGATTATCTCCCATCTTTACGTGGATTATCTCCCATCTTCACTGTAGCAAGATACGGATGTGAGTCGTGGATTATCTCCCATCTTTCCTGTAGCAAGATACGGATGTGAGTCGTGGATTATCTCCCATCTTACCTGTAGCAAGATACGGATCTGAGTTGTGGACTATCTCACAGGGTAGGAAATAAAGGCTTTCTGAGCTGAAATGCTGTAGAAAGATTCTTAGAATACCATGGACAAAGAAGCTAAGAAATACAGACATCCTAAAAGATGTGTGAACATCAAGAAAGACTGGCTAGTAACAAGTATCTTGTCTTAGAAACTGAAATTTGAAAGAATAATAGCAGGTATGGTACCATGCAAGAGTGATTGGGTCCAGCCGGTACAAAGATGGGCCCAGGATTCAAACCATACCTTAGGTAGGAAAGTTACTGAGGTGGGAGGGCTGGTGAGAGACCGAATCTCTTACAGGGGAATCATGATGAGAGCGATGTTTTGCAAAGAACCTGCTACATGATGATGATGGATTTATTGAGTTTTATCTACTAAAAATGCTTTTTTTTGCAAGATTCAAGTGATGACAGTGAATCTGAAACCGTGACCAGACTGCAAGAACAACATGTTAAAAGAGTTGTGGCCAGATAAGAGCACTATGCAGGAAGCCAAAAAAGAATAAAAAACCATAGCAGGACTGGTGTCGTCTGCCACCACACAATGCAGGATCTACCGAATGGGGGAGATCGGAGCACTTATGGATTGAATGGTTCAATGTGCATTGAGGATAATCTGTTGACTAACTAACTTCTTAAACTTCAAAAATGGAGATTGATCATTTTTGGGTCATTCCCTTTTACTTGTTTTACCCTCTTCAGTTGATGCACGGTTTCCTAAAGGTTAACACTAGAATTCTTATTGTCACACAACTTTCTGTAGAAGTGATCTTCACATAAAAATACCTGTTCAACCCTCATGGTTTTAACCAGAATATAAAAAGTTCAGTGAGATCAAGCTTTCTAATGGCATCAAAACTTTCAGTCAACATTACAGTATCAATAATTTATAATCATTCTTGCATACCCATTTTTGACGGACCCAATCAGAAACTTCTGTTGTGTTTAGCTTGCATTTCTGCGTTGAGATTTTGTGTTCACAAGGTTTACTTTTCACACTTAAAGTGTTGCATTTATTTGTGATTTGTCACTGAAAGCATTAAAATTAAATTTGACCCTCCCTGGTTTGGGTTCCTGGGCCCTGTTATAGGAAAATCAAGAATAGACCCACTGCCTACCCAAAAGCATGTTGTAAGAGTCGACTGACTAATTGGGAGCTTCCTTCAAAGTCGGAGCGCATCTGCCTGAGAGGCAAGGAACCAGCAGTCTGCTTACAAATGAGTCAGATCTGTAAAACGGATGCACATGCAACACTCAGGTTCGAATAGGACTGCAGAACTTTCCACCAGAGTTTACCGCTGGTGAACGTGAAGAAGAAGAAGAAGAAGAAGAAATGTAACCTTTTTTATAGAGCTTACAGATTTTCTTATATTTTTTAAGTAGTTTTCTTTAACGTTGAATATATAGCTACAGAATTTTCATTAGTAATTCATTTATTATTGGAAATATCTATTACTATAAGTTAGTCAAATAAGAATATTACAAATTATAGTATGACAGAATAAAACAATAACAATTATGATAGTAACTTGAGGAATCATTAATTCTTTCAGTACCAGAAGTTTTGGTGGCCAATTCCCAGGGGGAAAATTCTGAAAGCTAACTTAACTCTTTGAGTCCCAAAGAATGCTTCATACTTACAGGTTACTGCCTAGAAGCCCAATGAATGCATAATGCGCCGATTTAACGTCTCTCTTGACTACCCCTTGACTACCTCTAGGACTTAAAGAGTTAAGGCTAAACACAGAGGCTAATGACGCTTGGGTAGCCAGATTTCCTTGTATTCTCGGGCCATAATTAACATGTGTGAGAACACAATGTTCAGTGGTTGAGACTTACTCGAAGGATCCTATCATGCACCATATGTTGTTTGGGACAAAGAGTTCAGTACTGCTCTGTCTATTAAAATATGTTCTAATCTCTATCGTCCTTTTCAGGATGAAATTTTTTATTTGAAGCTCCACCCTGGCTTTTGCCGGGGGCCGCAATATAGGCAGGCCATAAATATGGCCAAATGTCTGAACGCAGTTTCTGGGACCTCTCCACGGCGATCCGCATCCGCATGGTGGCACTTTGTGTCATTGGGTGTTTATCGCTTGTGTGATGTCCTAGTGGGATAGAAAGTCAGTCAGTCAGTCAAATATGTTCTAGTGCCATATGTTTGATGCATCACTAGTGCTAAAGGGGTTTCTTTACTATACTTATGCTAGATTCATAATATTAAAAATTATAACTATGTCAGCTTTACACAAAACAAAAAATAAAGTTTTTTAATAATTGTGAGGCACACAATATTAAAAACTATGACCATGAAAAAAACATCTGTTAACACAAGGTGATTAACACAAGGCGATTAACACAAGGTGATTTACACAAGGTGATTAACACAAAGTGATGAACACAAGGCGATTAACACAAGGTGATTAACACAAGGTGATTAACACAAGGTGATTTACACAAGGTGATTAACACAAGGTGATTAACACAAGGTGATGAACACAAGGTGATTAACACAAGGTGATGAACACAAGGCGATTAAAACAAGGTGATCAACACAAGGCGATTAACACAAGGCGATGAACAGAAAGCGATTAACACAAGGTGATTAACACAAGGCGATAAACACATGGCGATTAACTAAGGCAATTAACACATTGCAATTGACACAAGGTGACACAAAATACCACCATTTGAATGAAAATCCGAGTGTGCACAATTCCAGAACCCTGTTCAACTGTTAAGATATATTAGGGCTCCCAACGACAATCAGGTTGGGGCTTTAAAAACCCCCCAAAATGCACCGCGTACTGGGGCAGAGTTGAGTTGCAAAATTTTGAAGTTTTGGAAGATAGTGAATATTGCATACCCATGAAAAAGCTAAACATAATTTGCATTAAAAAAAGTGAAGAAATATGTAAGATCATAAATGAAGGAACAAAATGCAGGTAGGATTGTTGGATAATGAAGAAATCAGTTAATAGATAGACAACCAATTATTTTAGACAATTTATAACAGATTGAAATGATTGTTTCTGAAAAGGAGAAATTAGAAATGAAAATTAAATCAAAAATTTAAGGGAACTAACTCATAAATGGGAGAAACATGGTGTTGAAAATTTGCTGGAATTTAAGAGAGTATCAGTAACAATGAGAGAAACATAGTGTTGAAAGTTTGCTGGAATTTAAGAGAGTATCAGTAACAATGAGAGAAACATGGTGTTGAAAGTTTGCTGGAATTTAAGAGAGTATCAGTAACAATGAGAGAAACATGGTGTTGAAAGTTTGCTGGAATTTAAGAGAGTATCAGTAACAATGAGAGAAACATGGTGTTGAAAGTGTGCTGGAATTTAAGAGAGTATCAGTAACAATGAGAGAAACATGGTGTTGAAAGTGCTGCAATTAAGAGAGTATCAGTAACAATGAGAGAAACATGGTGTTGAAAGTTTGCTGGCATTTAATTAAGAGAGTGTCAGTAACAATGAGAGAAAAATGGCGTTGAAAGTGTGCTGGAATTTAAGAGAGCATCCTTAACAATGAGAGAAACATGGTGTTGAAAGTGTGCTGGAATTTAAGAGAGTATCAGTAACAATGAGAGAAACATGGTGTTGAAAGTGTGCTGCAATTAAGAGAGTATCAGTAACAATGAGAGAAACATGGTGTTGAAAGTGTGCTGGAATTTAAGAGAGTATCAGTAACAATGAGAGAAACATGGTGTTGAAAGTGCTGCAATTAAGAGAGTATCAGTAACAATGAGAGAAACATGGTGTTGAAAGTTTGCTGGCATTTAATTAAGAGAGTGTCAGTAACAATGAGAGAAAAATGGCGTTGAAAGTGTGCTGGAATTTAAGAGAGCATCCTTAACAATGAGAGAAACATGGTGTTGAAAGTGTGCTGGAATTTAAGAGAGTATCCTTAACAATGAGAGAAACATGGTGTTGAAAGTGTGCTGGAATTTAAGAGAGTATCCTTAACAATGAGAGAAACATGGTGTTGAAAGTGTGCTGGAATTTAAGAGAGTATCCTTAACAATGAGAGAAACATGGTGTTGAAAGTGTGCTGGAATTTAAGAGAGCATCCTTAACAATGAGAGAAACATGGTGTTGAAAGTGTGCTGGAATTTAAGAGAGTATCCGTAACAATGAGAGAAACATGGAACTGAAATAGTGTAGATAACATCATCCTTAAACCTTTAAACCCTCAGGCTACTTGTGAAGCATCCTGTTCATTCCAGTCTATTATTGCCTGTCTTGTGTTGCTCTCCGTAATTCTGTGTCTGTCTGCATTGATAACTCTGTGCACACATCTCTCGTGCAAAGTGATCATTTATATAATGTGACCAAATATCTTCAACAGCACTTAGGGAGTAGATGGGCTTTGTGGATCAGAGAGGTGTTCCTGCTACAACGAGCTTTGAAGAACCCGACTTCCTGTTCACAGTTTAAGAAGTTTGTGTCCTTGTCCGGAGGATTTCTGGAGAATGACATTTTGTTTTGGTTAGAGGTGCAGAAGTATAAGGTAAGGGTCAGGGGCTTGTTCATCTCTCCCTCTCTCTCTCTCTCTTTCTCTCTCTCTCTCTCTCTCTCTCTCATGCGTGCGTACGTGGGTTGCATGCGTGGGTGGGTGTGAGTAGGGTTTCAAAACCTGACACATAAAAAATAATCATACAGTTGTGGATTATGTTGTAGGGTACAAGATAAATGGCTGAAAGCAACAAAAGTATAAGACTTCTGCCACTTACTAAAGGATTTGCTAGTGTGTGACACACTTTTTGCTTTGATATTCACTAGCATTTCTTTATTCTTACAAAAGAATAGAGGTACATCAGGAGCTTATATGGAGAAGAAAGGAGAAGCATTTTTTTAAGGCTCATGGAATTGTCTTTGCGACCTGTCACCAGTCCATTGCCAGCTGTACCTCTGCCACACCTAAGAGAAGGGTCTGTAATGATTCTGTCTGCCGTAATGATTCAGAGTCTGGTGGCTGTTTGTCTTTCCCTCTCAGTATTTCATAAACTGACTTATAACACCTCCATTACCACCTTGCCTTCTTAAAGATGTTATATGGTACTGATTCTTATGAAGCTGGATTCTTATGTCTCTGCTGGGTATTGAAACTGCACCATGTACTTAGCAGGCAAGAGCACAAGCTACTATTCAACCAAGGTCACATCTTAGGGTATGAGCTGAACGAATCCAATAATGAATAATTGATTCAACATGGTGAAAATTAATAGTGAGGTGGAAAAAATGTGTGACTTTCATGGTTTAAAGTTTTAGAATGAGTTTAACAGGTGATGAAAATTAATAGTATGATAGAAAAAATTGTAGTTGACAGCTAGAGACATCAGCACATTAAAACTGAGACTCATCAAATGTTATATATTCTCAGTTATGGTGCAGAGACTTGGATAATAAACCAGAAAACCGAATTGAGTTTTTCTGCAAGTGTGGATAAACAGAAGAATAGGTCGTATTTCATGGAAAAGATGTTAATTTTGCATTAAGAATCAACATAGTAGCTAACAGGACACTCCCATAGGTGCTCTGTTCCCATCTTCAGCAGCTAATGAAGAGTTCCAGTTCCGATGTTGCCAGTAACTCATACAATTAGACCAAACTCTCAAGGGAGATCATCTGAGAGAGATTGGACATGTATGTACAGCCCTGGATTTCTCTGACCCCTTTGTATTCTGGCACAAAAGTTTTATGGGTGGCCATATTCGCATATAGTTTGTCCATGTTGCTAAGGGCGCTAAGACGGATGACATATACATTTCGCAAAACATTGAACAATTAATAATTACACGGGTACTAACAAACACATGAACTTCCCTGCTGTATCCAGCGGTAGAGCCTGTTGCTGTCATGTATTTGAACTGGCAAATGGTTTGTTTTAAGCTATTAAAAGACATTCAATACTTGATCATCTGGCTTCAAATAATCAGGACAACAAGTACAGCCATACCGCTTTCATGGAAACAAGAACACTAAAATATAGAGGTTCTAGAAAGTTCTAGAAAGTTCCAGAAAGTTCCAGCTCCAGAAAGACTACAACTGAAAATAATGACTGAAAGAAATAAAAGAGAGACAATTAAAATGTTTTAGCTACATTAAAATATTTTCTCTCTCCTCCTCCTCTAGTCCTCCTTTTTTCTTCTTTTCCTCCTCCTCCTTCGTCTTCTTCTTTTTCTTCTTCCCTAATCCTGTTCTGCCTTTTAGCAACAGATTTTGAAGAGGCATCAGGTGCGAGCTTTATTATGTGGTACATAGATGCTGATGTTAACAGCCTCAGATATTCAAATAGATCATCATGGTCGGAAAAGAATAATGCAGCAGGCAGCGATCATCAGATCTATGTGAGACTGAGTATTCAGGGAAAAGGCAAGAGAGACATGCAGTCCATTCCACTACTGACACCACCAAAACTGGAATATGAGCTGGAGCCCATGAGAATGTCCCAGGCTGCAGCGATGTTGTTTCTGAACTATTTCAGACCCACTGAATGCATCATGTGTTTTTCATTTTCTATCTAGAAATCCAATGAACGCAAGATGCGCCCATTTTATGTCTCTCTTGACTACCTCTTTGGGTCTCTGATACTAAACCCTCTGGGACTGAAAGAGTTAATTGATCTTAACTTTCTGTGACTTATGTTGAAAACTGATTGTGTTATATATTGTGTGACTGCTTTCTTTGCAACAGTTGATGCATAAAAAGAAAAAGGGGGAGACTACAGTGCAACGGAAGATCAATGCCATTATAAATTGCTTTATTAACTCATATTTACCACCAAATCTTCAAATTGATATCTCTCAAGATATGGCAGACGACATCATGGAGCACAAATATGAAATGAAACCTACTTTGTTCCAGAGAGCCCAGGTAATGACGTGATTCCCCAAACTGCTGGAGTTGTGTACTTTTGGTTCTTTATTAATATCTGACCCCAAATGATGTCACAGGACAGTCCAACATTTTATAGGGCTGTAATACTGGGTTTCCCAGCTTTCTGATGCTTTTAACGACCCCAAAACATCTGGAACTGGTCCTTACCCCAACCCACAGTGCAGCATAGGTCCCACAAATGCACTCAGCCTATCAGCCACCCCCTGAAAAATTAAACTGTCCCGTGACCTGTGGATTTCCTCTGTCTGCCGTAGGATATTAATATAGCACAATACTTTTTAATTATTTTAGTTCCTGGGGCTTCCACATCAGAAAGAGATAATCTACATTCTTTGACCATGTTGTAAGGAGAAAACTGAAGTTCATCATGATGGCTGGAAAGTTGGAGGGGAGAAGAGGCAGAGGGAGAAGATGCTGAACACTTTGACTTCACGGCATGGAAACTCATCTATGTTAGAATTTCATAAAAGTACACAAGACAGAGAAGGTCACCATGGTGTAGCGGCTAGACACTCGCCCATGGATCGGAAGGTCATAGGTCTGGGTCCTGACAGAGCCAGGCATTTAAAAACTAAATTTTGGTTCTCAGGTCGACCCAGCCTTGAGTAGGTACCAGAAACAGTCCTGGAAGGTAAAGGTGGTCGGCATGATGCTGACCACATCACTCACCCACTGCCAGTTGGTCTATAAAATGTAGGTCTAGCCCTATGTGTCCACTTCACTTGAAGTTCCTATAAACAAACAGAGGGGGAACCTTTGAGGCCGTTAAATATTATGAATTAATCAGGTAACAGAAAGTGTATTGATCGGCACTCATAAAAAGAAGTAGAAAGATAGAAGAACACACTAGACAACATAAACATCGAAAGCTATAGTTACCGTGCCGGGAATTGAACTTGTCACCTCCAGACGGCATCTGCGCCTCGCCATGGATACAAGTGCATTAAGAACATGGTCAACTAGGCACC